CATGCAAGGCAGTGTCACATCACCCACTGCCTTTTAAACCATCACATAACTGGTCACTGAGTGTTTGGCCTTGTCTCTACAGAGTGAGTTATATACTGTGTCCTGTGACTGATAATCCCTCCAGCTGCAAAATTTGCACTGTTATCCAATTTCTTCATGCTAAAACATGAGTGCTCCAGAAATCTATCATGAATTATGTGTGGTTTATGGCCAAAATGTAATGAGTGAAGGAAATGTAAGACAATGGTGTGGAATGTTCAAAGACGGGCAAACAAATGTTCATGTTAAAGCATGAAGTGGTCAGCCGGCCATCTGTAGTGAGTGATGATCTTGTTCAAAGTTTGGCCAAAAAATTTGTGAAAGGCAGTGCTTCACAAGTTCAAAACTTTTGTGTGAATATCCAGAAATTTCACATGCTGTTCTCTGTGAGATTATCACAGTTAAGCTAGGCTATCACAAGTTTGCACAAGATGGGTTCCAAAAATTCTCATGGCTGCACATAACACACAGAGAATGGCTTCAGCTTTGATTTTTTAGAGCGATACCACAAACATGGCAATGAATTTCTCAGTCACATCATACAAGTAACAGGTGATGAAACCTGGGTTTCATTTGTGAATGTTGAAACCAAAGAACAGTCAAAGCAGTGGATGAACTCACATTCACCAGACAAGCCAAAAAAGTTTCAACAATGCTGTCTACCAGAAAGCTGAAGGCATCTGTTTTCTGGGACAGGAAAGAGGTGCTGATGGTAAAATTCATGCAACAAGGGACCACAATAACAATACAAGTGCACTGCAAAACACTAAGAAAACTGTGTAGGGCCATTCAAAACAAAAGGAGTGGAATGCTGACACCTGGTATAGTGCTCCTCCATGACAATGTATGTCTGCATACAGCTGCTTGCACTTGAGCACTGCTGGAGCTTTACAACTGTGAGTTGTTTGACCATGCTCCGTACAGCCCTGATATTGCTCTGAGCCACTACCACCTGTTTACCTACTTGAAGAACTGGTTGCGATCACCGCACTTCAACAATGAGGAGTTGATAGAAGGTGTCAACATGTGGCTGAGCTCATGGGCGGCAGACTTCTTTGACACAGGGATACAAAAATTTATTCCCCAACACAAGTGCCTTAATTCTGGTGCTAACTATACTGAGCTTACATATATATGTATTTTTTTTACATACAAATACATACAAATTACATTACATATTACATACAAATTATTTTTTCTCACTGATTATTTTGTTAACAGCTGATCAGAGGTTACTTTACGAATAACCCTTGTATAATAATGTGAATACCAGAGAAACACATTCTGAAGATACAGAGTAGAATGAGCTGGGTCAGGATATGGTGCACTGGTGGACTTCAATCGTAGCAGATATGAATTGTTTGGCTCCATACAAAAAGGAAATTTCTTGATCAGATGAATAGCCATCATCTGCTCAAGAAAGACTGTGCCATAAAGTGTGCATCTAACCCTTTGCTATGCAATATAAATCTGATCTCAGTCCAGCTAATGTAAACACATTTAATACTTCAAGCATGGCAGAGGAAATTTAATTTTGTTAGGTTCTACTACATGGGATGCAGCAAACAGTTAAGTAGTCATTGGCTCCTTCTCCCATATGAATAGCTGAGGTAGTACTTTTAATCAGAAACCTGAAGTAAAGTCATTTGGAAGGAGCTAAGTACAAGTGGAAGGATGATTTAAAATTAACTGTAAAGAAACTGAATAGGAGGACCTGGATTGGATTCATTTGGATCAGAAACCACAAATCAAAAAAGAATGGCAATAAAGGAAATTACACAGCACACAAATTTCAAAAGCAAACCTTTATTTTCATATGTTTACAGAACAATATTATGTAAGTTGCATGTTCAAATTTACTATCCCTGAAAGAAGCCTCAGAGTCTGAGCTTTAAAATTTATTATCATTACTATTATTTCATGTTGCAATAAATGCAAAAAAGCATGCCAGTATCAAACAATGGCATTTCAGTACTCTTTCATATGTTACATTAAAGAAAATTAGCCTATCAACTTAATCTAAGGTTAGTGGACACATACTGACTGACCAGGTGACCACTGCGTGTCGGCGAAGTTAGTGCCAACTTTGGTGGAAAGAGGGTGTCATGAGGTCAGTGCAACGAACACCCACGGCCAATAATTTTTGGTTTTCTAGACCGGAGCCACTACTTTTCCATTCAAGTAGCTCCTCAATTATCCTCACGAGGCTGAGTGGACCCACTACTTCTTAGAAAATCTGGTAGAGCCTGGAATCAAACCTGGGACCTCTGGATCTGTAGCCAGGAACTCTGACCACTAGACCAGTTGCTATAGTTCGAATGTGGACTAAAGCCACGGAGTTTGCTTGTAGTGGACACATACATTGAGTATGGAGAAACCATTATATTGAACATTAAGAAGAAAATACTGTAATTTTGGGGTTTCTTTTTTTCTTCTTTGGTCCTTCAAGAGGTATCAGGTTTCATTTCATGTATGACATTTATTGGTGTTATCACCTGACCTAAGTATCCCATGAATGCAAACACAGTTAAATGAAAATAGATCCAATAATTTTGACAGAAATGGAAATGTAAAGTAGTAAATAATAATCTCTGTTATAAAAACCAATTCTATGGTATTCAGGAACTGTTCCTTCTTAATTGTATATGGTGGATATAAGAAATGTTTTGAACCAAATTTTTAATAACATTTATTTAAAATAATAGAATGAGTCATTCAACCCTTTGGGCCTACTGGGACATAAGTATGTCCCACAGATATCTTTGGTAAGTTTTCTGGGACCTATGTGGCTTTCAAATTAATGCACTCAAAGTATCACAATTCTTTTTGTGCCAGTTATGAATGCAATCTAATGCAGATAAAAACCACAGAAATCAAATTTTAAATGTGTTTTGTACATAACTTTACCCTTACACACATGCACACACTCATACACAAATCTCTGGATCTCCATCACACACAGCACATTTTTTGCACACTGTTACTATTATCACTACAACAGTGAAAAGATTCAACTGATAAATAAATTCCCATTATCAATCTTAACAGCCATTATTATAAGATTAAGCAAGTTATTTATCTTTCAGCAACCTGCAGCACAATTTTTCCGCAAACTTTATAACATGCACTGTATTTAACAGCAGAGATTTATTTTCAAGACACTTTTCATTCCAATATATATTTAGACACACTCAGTCTATGTTTCTCCCTTAATGTCAGGGAGCAAATTTCACACCCATACAGAACCACAAGCAAAATTATATTTTTGTATATTGTAATTTTTAAGTTTTTGGACAGCAGATGATAAGACAAAGGGTTCTGGTCCGAATGGTAGCAAGAATTACAGGAATTCAATCTCCTCTTAATTTCCCCCTGAATCAGGTTTTGATTTGTTACTGTTGTTACCAAAAGGAGCCGGGATAGCATAGTCAGTATAGCGACTGGCTACAGGCTGGACAACTGAGGGGTAAGAGAGCTGAGTCCTGATACGGTCAAGAATCTTCTCTTCTCCAAGTTGTCCAGACCAGCTCTGGGGCCCACCCAACCTCCTATCCAATGGGTACCAGAGGGTCTTTCCCTGGGGGGTAAAGCGGCCGGGGCGTGAAGCTGACCACTCACCTCCAGCTAGTGCTGAGGTCAAGAAAATGTGGATCTATACATCCACTCCTGCATATGCCTTCATGGCATAGTGCTTAATTACTTAAGCACAGAGACAACTTTACCTTTTACTGTCATTCCCAAATATTTGAACTGTGCCATATTTTCAAAGGATCTGTTATTGTTATGAAATAAAATTAAATTCCTTCAAAAGTTCAAATTTAACTGAAATGTGTTCAACAGTTTCTAATACAAAATATGCAGGCAAATAATATCCCCACCATATTTAATTTCATGCAAAGAACACACACAAAAGTAATATTTTCATTTTAGACTGGTTTCATACACTGATACAAGTAATTCACTAACATTATATTTTGAAAGCAACAGCTCATTCAGTTGAAATGTCTTCAGATATTCAAAACATTGTGGATAAGTGAGTGTGTGACTACCACACAATCTCAAACATCCTTTATTAAACCCCATATATAAAGCTGCAGATAAATAGCAAATGCTGAGCAGTTTTTCATTATCATCTCCATTGCTGTAAGACAGACTGTAAAAACTTATGTGTAACAAATTCATAAAACAGTTATGGTGAAAAAAGAAACAGAAAAGTTGTAACATCTGTAATGTTACTTTGTCTTCAACAAGGAAAATACGTAACTTCTTGTAACTGTCAATAACACAGCCACAGGTTTCTAGGGTTTTCCAGTTCTCCACAGAAATTCTGGGAATAGTAGCAAAGTGGGCTCAGTAGAAGTCTGAGTGCTTTGGGTGACTAGAAGTTGTCCCCGCAATGTCAATATTGGGAACAGTATGCCATGACTGCTTCCTCACACATGCCTGTGGCTTTGTATTTCACATCATCCAACACTGTATATAAACAATCTGTTCAGAGCATATAGTACTGTAAAATATTCAACTTCAATAGCTACAGAAATGCCAGAAATATCCAAGATTAACCAAAACACAAAACATCTGAAACCTATAAGAAAATTTTCCAGCAATCCTTCTTGCACACATATTTTTCAAGCCATATTTAATATTAACTCCAAAAAATAATATATAACATATTAAACAAGAGTAAAGCTCAGCAACATTCGTTAACATATAAGATTATAGGTTTTCATGGTAGTAACTGTTCAGATTACGGTCTTCTTGGTTGGGGATACCAATAATCCAGAGCAATATGCTACCTTTGTCTTCACATGTTGTGACACTATTTGTCCCCCTTCCCTGTCACTGTACCTGTACATAAACTAGTTACTCTCTCACACACTCACTTCATTCCTAAAGATGAAGGCAGTATGTTCCTCTAAAATGCTGACATCTATCTACAAAACTATATGGTGTCAAAACTCATACATACATACATTACATTCCGTAGATCCAAAGTAAGTCAGAATGACTGTAGGATGTGGAACAAGTCATACAAATACAAAAGCCATAAATACAGTACAACTGAGACAAATGAAAAATACATCCACATATATAAGACAATACTGTCAACTTATGCTTGTACATAACCTTTTAAAAGGACGAGTCATTTTTAGACAGTAGGAATTCATCAACAGAGTAGAATGAGTGTGTATTTAAGTATTGTTTCAGTGCTAATTTAAATTGCGCCTTTTCATTCATTAGACTTTTGAGACTAGATGGTAGACTGTTGAAAATGTTAATGCCAGAATAATATGCGCTTTTCTGAAAACATGTCAGGTTGGCAACCGGTCTATGGAGATGATGCTTGTTTCTCATGTTAACACTGTGTACATCCGAATTGGTCTGAAAACGTTCTTGGGTTATTTATAATGAAGCTCAATAATGAAAATATATATTCACATGGAAGAGGTAAGATCACAACCTAGACAACTGTTTACATAATTAAGACACACTGTGCAACTTTCGTCTATGCTTCTTCATGTCTCCAAGCTGAGAAAAAGCATGACCACAGATATCACACTTGTGGGGCTTCTCACCTGTATGGGTTTGGATATGTATTTTCAGATGTGAATTTCGCAGGAATGCCTTACCACAAAGGGTGCACACATATGATCTCATGTCTGTGTGATATAATATATGCTGAACAAGACCTCCTTTCTGAGTGAAAGCTTTGCTGCAAATCTTACACTTGAATGGTCGTTTCCCTGTGTGGATATTTAGATGCATATTTAGAGAATTTTTAGAAGTGAAGGTTTTACCACATATATGACATATAAATGCACATTTTATCTGTTTCTTATATACTCTGTGGCTAATAAGCTGATGTAAATGAAGTGAATGCTGAGAGATGTAACTTTTGTCACATTTTTTACACTGAAATGGATGCTCACCTGTGTGATTCCTTACATGAATTTCCAGTCTCTCTCTAGTAGAGAACTCTTTGCTACAAAATTCACACAAGAAAGTCAAAGAAGTATTTTCCAATCCCAATTCTGTATATACAGTACCATGACAGTTTCTCTCATGGGTTGCCAGAGCACTAGAAGTTTTGTAAGCTGTATGACAGGTTCGGCAAACATGTTCTTGATGGCTGCTATGAGAAATCTGATGTTTCTGCAATAACCATCTGTTTTTCCACACCACTCCACATATTTCACACATGAATTGTTCCTTTGTTTCCTGATGCACTACAGCATGATTGTTTAGTAATGCAAGATATTTAAATATCTTCCCACATACTTCACATATGTATTTAGACGGGTTCTTGAAATCAGATTTTTGTTGCTTTTCACTGCTTTCATGGAACTGTTGCTCATGAGATTTTAATTTACGAAAATTGTCAAAAACATCACCACATATGTAGCATAAATACTCTAAACATTTAACTTTTTGTTTAAATGAAAGTTTTGAATGACTCTTTCGGTGAGTTATTAATTCCAGTTCTGAATGAAATACCTTGTTACAATCCTTGCACAAAAATTGAAGTTCACTGATGTGATCAGCTATTAAATGCTGCTCTAATGAGGATGCAAACACAAACTTCCTGTTACAGTATTGGCATGGATGAATCTTGGTTGTACTATGTGTCAGTTTATGAAGTGCTAGCATATACTTATTCTTGTAAATTTTCTGACAAATTTCACATTTTTCTGGTTGACAAGAATGCATTCGTACATGGTGTTCTAAAGCACCTGCTGTAAAGAACTTTCTGGCACATACAGTACAGGCATGTTTTGGTTTCTCTGCACCTGGAATATGATACTTCATGTGAGCAGTCAATTCTGCAAAAGACAGAAAACCTTCATCACAAGCAGAACATGAATAGACATTTATGAAACCATCAGTAGTTTCTTTCAATGCATTTTCAGGTATATTTGATAAGTCAGGTATGTTTTCTTTGCTATATTCTTGGGTTTGTGCAACAGTACTATGCCGGTGCCAATTATCACTGTTCATTTCAGAAGATTCAAAACCAAGTAGACTGGAATTAAATAACACATCACACTCCTCAAGGACATCAGTATTTGAACTGACATTTTCATGTTGCTTACTGCTGCTCACTACGTGCAGGTTCTCATCTTTACTTGACATCAACAAATCCTCTTGGAGGAAATCAGAATACTCATTAATATTATCATGACGACAAACTGATGAACTGTCCACCCCAACAAATAGTTCATTACTATTACTATCACTTATATCGGTAACAGTTCGCAGCTCATTTTCTGCATCTGTGTCATATAGGCCATATTTATCATACGTTTCAATGTTAAACAGCTCACACATAGACATATCATCACCATTTACTTCACTGTCAAATATATCTTTATCTTCATCGTATGTAAGTGGTGAGGACATGATATCTATCACATACAGAAGAAATTCTTCATCGTGATCCTTGGTTGACTCATCATATCTGGAAAACAAAGCAGTCCTCAAGGTTACAAAATTAAATTAAATTATATCAATCATTTATATACATTAAATCAACTTTATACATACAAAGTGTACCTTTCAATGAGGAAACAGGAAAGTTAGGAAAACTATGATATAGTGGTGCTGCATCAGATGTGAATTTAACTTAAGCGAACTGAACCACTCCCCCCCCAATAGAAAATAAAAATAACATAAGCTGATGCCACACACCATGCTACTCGGTGAGCCCTGACTACACCCATATAGTGTTGTTGGGGAAAGATGAACACTAATCATCAGAATATCTGGCATGAATGGTGTGAGTGNCATAGGAAAATAAAAATAACATAAGCTGATGCCACACACCCTGACTACACCCATATAGTGTTGTTGGGGTCAGATGAACACTAATCATCAGAATATCTGGCATGAATGGTGTGAGTGTTCAAGTTTACTGTTTTCCTCCTTCATTCTTTCATTCTTCCATCTCTCTTTTTATGCATTTAAAAACAAAATTATTGTAATTTTACTTGTATATGTACTCTATATTATAGGAGAGTGTGTGAGTGCATGCATGCATGCATGCGCGCGCGCACACACACACACACATTACTGAGTATATGCAAAAGCATGTACTTTATGTGCAATTTAAGGGATTTTCAAGAGTAACTGTGGCTATATGCTATTTTGGGTTTATGTGCTGTCTTCAGAACATAACCCCCATAAGATGCAACTCCACAGTGCCATAGATGAAAAGGTTTCTAGTTCTGCTTCAAAACATGGACCTCCTGAATAAAAATCAGTATTGCTGATCACTGTATTGAGACCTTCACTTTGCTGAGAAAAATCATGAAATACCTCATCCACAATGGCTGGTTCCAATTTGGATTTAAAATGAGTACTGTCTGTGCATGAATTAAGAACAGAAATGACGTTTTTTATTTAACCACAATTTTGCTGCAAATTGCGCTAAATGTAAATAATATTATGACATTCAACTGCATATAAATGGGCTGTTTCAGAGGAATATATTGCATCTATATTCAGAATTGAAGAGTAAGCTAAGCAAGATACTAGAATGTAGCAGGCAGTAAAGAGAGCGTCTTAATAATGAATGAAAAAATATGTTCCACTTAATAAAAACTAACATTTCATAAAAAAATACGCAAGTGAGTTTCTTGGGGTGTTTTTCATTACAATAATGTTCACTGTGCTCTCCAAACGTTTCCATGTAGAGAGTAAACTTACAGATGTATAAAAACCTTGTCATAGGATGGACGATGAAAACATCTTCATCGGCAGTAATGCCTTCCTTGAATAATACAGTGACATTCCATGAAAACACACTGAGCAAAGTAATATTAAGAAAATATAACTCATACAACATTACTGGAGATTTGAGGCTCTCATGGCTGTGATACTCAACATTCTGTTCTTATTGATGGCACCATTTATTCAATTGTGTTTGCTAGGAGCTTTGTAGGAATCCACTGCCCCCATTTCTGGGTAGAATCTAAATATTTTTAATTACCACCTGTGAAATTTCAATGTGTTGTAATCTAGAAGACCACAAACTAAATATAAAACATTTACTTTCCAAATGTTATGTCTTTACTCAAACTTCAAATTTTCTCTTCCTTCACTTCTGTGCAGGAAATCAGATTATCTCTTCTCTAATGATTTCCCAATCTATGCTTTGAAGACACAGTGTGCTCGCACCATTATTCCAGCCGTTTCTTCAGCACCACTTGAAGATGCATTCATATTCATCAAAAGAAGTAAAATATGTGAAACTGTATTCCAAAATTCCTTTTATGAATAAGGAATCAAGAGCATAAATAGTACACATTTCTCACCTGCACTCTGACATGAAACATAAATACAATAATCCCTCAGTGACCATAGGTGGAAAGGACAAGGCCTGATAAGAAATTGGGAATTACAGGAAATGTGGTCTCTTTAAATATTCATTGATATCTAAACTGCCAGTTCATTCCCAATACATAAAAAAATACATTTAACATATTTACAAATAAGACACAAGAAAATGCTACAAAAAGATGCACAGCAATTGTAATCTGGAAGCTTGAAAATGGTTCTGAATGCTATTACAGCTCTGTCCTGGTAAATGCATATCTGTAGTGCTGAAACGACCAATGTTTTCTGTGTTCATAAATTAAAAACTTCAGATATGGAGAACACAATACTATGGTTGGCAGAACCACAGTTTATATGAGACTGCTGTGTTTCTAATTTGTAAGGCCAGAAACATAATCAAAATCTCCAAGTCTGTAAGGTTATATTTAACACATTTTCTTCCACAGAAATAAGCACAATGTTCTATTCCAGCAATCTGTATCTCATGTTATTCATTTATCCCTCTCAAATACCTAATGTTTATTTACCTGTGGATGTAACTAATTTTACCTTTTAAGACTGAGTAGGTAATGAAGAAACCAGTGCTACACAAAATATTATCCTTTTCAAATGTGAAGTACTGACTATGGCAGCAGATTTAGTAATTCCAGTTTTAAAGACTATATCAGTTTAATATATACTCTGCTTAAATGACTCTGACACTATTGGACCAGTTAATGTAAATGCAATTTATATTACATTTCAGTTATGTTATTAAATATGCCAGGGGACATTTCAATCTAGTAAGTTCTACAACAGCACCTGTGATGCAGAGTTAAATCACAGAAAATTCAGCCTTTTAATTAAAAACAATGAAGAAGTTTACTAGATAAGAAACAACATATGATCCAGTACCCTAATACAGAAACTAAAGGCATGACAGATGAGCATACATGGTGTGTCAATATAGAATCATCTTTTATATATATAAATAAAGAATACACTAAGAATGCAGGAGTTTAACAGGAATACTGTGAAGGTTTGCTGCAAGCTCGTACACCTAGACTTCATCATGAAGTATGGAGACATGAACACACACACTCACACAGAAAACTTTCACAGTTAACCCATTATGACACCACTTCAATTTATTGTATCTTTATGCTATTAGACAAGTTAATTTAAATACCAATTTATTTATTGAATTTTTATGTTATATTTAGCAGAATACATTTTAATTAACTACATTCTATTGCATCGGGTCTGGCAAAAGGTTATGTGAACTGTTTTTGTAGAGAAACATTATATCTCACAAGGAATTCAATTATGTTCATGTCTGTACTGAATTCATAAGGATAAATATAATCTCTTTTGTAAGCATGTGTGCTACAGATATTGCATAATCTGACAGATTTGCATTACCCTACAAACATCAAGTAGAATTTCTATCAGAATTAACAATCAGCATACACATTACATTATCCGTGAAATATATGATGGTAAATTTATTTACTATACATGAGATAGACTTGAAAGGATTCTGACGATGGTGTATACTGTACGTCTTTTGGCTTATTTTGGACTTCACCCATCGTCTGGTATGTAAAAGACAAAAGACCACGACGTTTTGGAGACTGGATCTGTTTCCGTCTTCAGGTGGATAGGGAAGGATAAACCTACTCAGTTGGGCCCGCTAGAAAGAGCTAGTCCCTATCCACCTGAAGACAGAGACAGATCCAGTCTCCGAAACGTCGTGGTCTTTTGTCTTTTACATACCAGACGATGGGTGAAGTCCAAAATAAGCCAAAAGACGTACAGTATACACCATCGTCAGAATCCTNAGAGTTGAGGTTTTAATGACAAAGGAGGATTGGGATTGTGGTATTCTGGGTTATAACACTGAACAATTTTATCGATGGTTACTATGATTCAGAGGAAACTATGACTCCACCTTCCTTCGTTTCTAACAGCCAAAAAATTTACCAGCTGCAGAAGACAGGTCAGTGAAATAACATTACATAAAAAATTTCTACATATTTACACATTCTGTACTTTTAAGCATATTTTTGATATCTTGCAAAACAGAAAAGTTACTAGGATGAATCCTGTGTCAGAGATACTTAAAATACTGGAGACGCTGTTCTTGAATTTCCTTCAGTCTGCTATGAATTTGAATTCAATGCAAATTATACAGAACTCACTGAAAAAAAAAACTAAAAAAAGTATGAGATTTATTTTTATGCACCCCACTTAAATCTAAACATGCCTATGAAAAAAATAACTTATGATTAGGAATTTATGAATTTCACTTGTTGTGTTGATGGTGGTGAACTTATATGTTCTATAACAAGGGAATGTTGTGGCAGCCAATTATTCAGGGAAGACATATCAGGAAATTAGATAATCATTAGTTGTGCTGGTTTTCTTTAATCAAGAGTAAAATCATTTACTGGTGGTTCAGTGAGGCCTGGTCTCTAAGCCATACAGAAGAGCTACAACACTGGCTACTAGTGGCATAGCCAATGGCTATTGCACATGTCAGTGAGATAGCTCAGATCCCACCAATTGGCTACTGTTTCTACTATAATTTCTGAGACTTTAATTCTTGTCACTGAAATCCTCATGAAGTATAGGAAGTATCCAAAGCCAAAAATACATATTAAAACTTTCTATTAAAACTGATGATTGTATTTACAATTTATATATGGGAAAATTTTGCTGTATGGTACTTAAAGGATAAAGCTCACAATGTGTACTTATTATGAGATATGAGGTTCTCAGTGGTGGTGAATATGAAGGTTCCCGTCTTCAGGGATGTGACACTGCATAGGTTGATGGACAGGTACTGACATTTTTGAGGAATATACTCCTCTTCTACCCATAATACTGAGGCAGCTGTTCTCCTGAAATGTCAGAAACTTTCCTTCTACCAGACTACACAGCAGCATGTTACCTTCAAGTAATTACTCTCTTGCTATTCTGTACTTTCAATTACATCCACATAAACAGTTTTCAGCATTTATCCCAGATAACAGTAAATATTATAAGCTATAACCTGTTTGAGCAAGTTGGAAGGTGACATCTTAAAACACTAAAATATATCATCCAAGCAAGGTAACACAATTCATGTCAAATACACAGTTTGAACAAAATCTGAATTTGCCAAGTAACACTTTCACCAATGGAAAAATGCAGAAGTCAAGTCAGTCCTTCTTTGGTATAACAACATTATGAATTTTCAACCGATGCTTCTTCATGTCTGTCAACTGAGCAAATCCACGACCACAAATTTCACAAATGTGAGGTTTCTCCCCTGTGTGAGTGCGGATATGAATGATAAGCGTTTCTCGCCGACGGAATGCTTTCTCACAGAGATGGCATGGGTATGGTCGGTGGTCTGAATGAAGTGCAGAATGATTCACAAGACTTGTTCTTTGTGTGAATGCCCGATTACAAATT